AAATATGGATGATTTTAGGCTGATTATTTGCCCTATTTTAAAATTATTGGCTGCACGTTTCAAACAAAAAAAACGAGACGATTTGTCGAAATACGCATTGTATTCACTATACATTATGCATTTCAGTGCATTTTCTATCAAAAGCATATTTTATAACGATTTTATAAGGCAAAGTGTTAGTATCGATTGTAAGCTTCGTTGCAGTGATCTCTGCTCGTTGTAAGCTCAATAACAGAGTCAGTAACTATCCCAATTTGGAATTTTTAGCTGCATATTTTTTAATCGAAACCTGTGGCCTTACTGGCTTTGAGCGAACTCAGCTGAGCCATTTTTGAAAGGAATATATTTTTCACTGAATTGATATATCGATATTGAAAGGCAAATTTTAGGCTAATTAATTACCATATTTTATAATTTTTTTCCCAACATTTCAAGCAAAAAAAAAGGAAACGATTCGTCGAAATACGCGTTATTCTATCCAAAGCATATTTTATGACGATTTTATTATTGATTGTGAGCTCAATAACTATCCCATTTTGCCGCATATTGTTTTAAAGCCACCTGTGGCTTTGTCAGCTTCGGTCGAACTCAGCAGAGCCATTTTTGAAAAAGTTAATTTTTTTTCGATTCGATACATTGTGATTTCGAGGCTAATTTCAGGCTAAATAGATAGATAGATAGACAGATTGCTTTATTATTCAAAGAAGTGTACTCATACATTTACAATACACAAATACAATTAAATGAACTGGCGTCAAATGATATGATGTTTGTTAACAAACGAACAGAAAAAAGGTACTGAAATCACTATCAGAAAACGAACATGTTCAAAATCATATACTTAATGAGTAAAATAAAGACAATTGATTGATATTCAAAATACTAAAATACACCAAAAAAACGGTTGAAATTACATGTTTAGGAAGTAAAATACATGTACATAATTGCAACAAGTGACATTGAATTGAAATATACTTGAACCAAGAAATTCATCTATGGTGTATGGTTCTATTTCAATCAATAATTCCAGAACTGACAGTTTGAATTTTTTAAGGCTGGGTTCGATTTTCAATTTCGAATGTAATCTATTGTAAAACTTTATACACGAGTACATTGGGTTTTTTTTTCTGTTACCGTTAGTCTGTGAGGTGGGATATTAAAATCCATCGTTCTTGTACCATATCTATGCTTTGATTCATAGGCTTGGAATTTCCCCCTATTTTTGAATAGAAATACCTCGAGAAATACTAAACATTCATATAAATAAATACCCGGGACAGTTAATATATTCATGCCTTTGAATTTTCCTCTGCATGACTGCCTGTAAATGATTCTCACCAAAATTCGTAATTACCCCATTTACAAATTTTTGCATCACGATTTTAGAAAAAATAACGAATTGATTTGTCAATATTCGCGATATTCACCAGGTATTATGTGTTTCTATCAAAAGCCGACTTCTTGACGATTTTATGGGACAAAGCAATAGTATTGATTATATACCATTTTGGATTTTTTTGAAGCATATTATTCAAGCAGAGCTTAGCAAAATGGGCGAGCAACAACTTGAGATATTGGTAATTGTACATCATACCTAATCATTATTCAGCTCTTATTATTATTATTTTTTTTCAATTGCATTTCCTCGTTGTGCGGGGTTAGGAAAGCATATATTTACAAACATCCATGGCCTAACTGGGATTCGAACCCATGCCTCGGTGAGAGTCCCCATAGGAACTCAGCGCCTTCGCGCTCTCGACCACTGGGCCGCCAAAATTATAATTTTGAAGAGTATATAGGTGATGGCATATATTTATATTGTTTGATGTTGGATGTTGGATTTCTTGTGTTGTAATAATGTTCTCTAGGTCAGCTAGCTTTTTTCGTTCCTCTATCTCCTTCTTCTAATGGTGAAGCCATGATTCAGTACAATGTTATTACATAAAAATTATAATCACTTTGTAATCTGTGGTCTTTGTCCTTTGTGCTAAATGAAGTAGTGAAATAATCGCTAATTATTATAAACGTGACAACACTAGAAATTGATGATAGATACGCCATCCGAGTACTTCTGCTGAGTAGGTACTCAATCAAATAGACAACTCTGCATGCATAAAATAAGTACGTTGAATGATGTATGATTTATAAACACATGTGGGAAACGTTATTGAAATGGAGCATTCGTTTAACTCATGCTCGCACTTCCAGTGGCTGTTCGTCAGGGTAAACAAAGAACTTCCAAAGAATAAAATAAAAAGAAAATTTTTCAATCAGTCTACACCAATAAACAAAAACCGATTCTTCAACTCCTCTACACGTGTTTTGATAACTTTGTTAGCAGCTTCAGGAAAATATTTAAACTAGATAACCTATCTGGCACCCAAACATACGCTGCATCCAGAGAAGAGCAGTTCGCCTAGTTCTTTGACCTCATTAGAACACCGCAAAAAATTCGGCGACCTTCCACTTTTCTATATATACAGATATTTTCACTTGTAATACCACTAGAGGTCAAATTATTTCGTCGACGAGGGATAATTTTAGAAAATATAGAATCAAAATATCAATTTTCCTTATTTTTCGGTGATGAAGAAGATATACCTGCGTAACCAGTTGGGAAATGCGTCTTTTGGTATAACGTTACGTACAATATATAATATAGATATATTCTAAAAATGAAGAATTTTTATGAAAAATTGGGCTTGAACAGAAAAAGTGATCAGTTCTACATGAGTTCTACCAATTATTTACAAATTTTTATACGCAAGTTGACTTCCCGTCACTTTGAAGTATCCGTCAAATAATAATATATGGTCACAAATCAGCGGCCAAATAGATTCGTTTGATATTTTCATTGATGGAATATGATTGATTCAATTTCAGATTTCCCAAGTGATATTCATTACCAGTTATGTAATATTTTGCTTTACGCAACTGTTTAAATAATGTAAGACGTTTCAAAACTTCCAAACGTCAGGTTTGAAAAGTGTCAAATTACATGTAGAAACTAGATAAATACATAATTTCAAATGATGAGGTAACGAGCTGCCACTGCAACATTCAACTCATACAATATACTATATTGTTGGCCTTGTCTATTAATTTTTTCAGAATATTTATACGAATTCGCAGAAAACTTACTCACGATAATAAGTAATAAAATTAACAATAGAAAATCTGTTATTGAACAAGGTGACCCGATGTTTTTCGATCTAAGACGTTTTAAAAACAAAACAACAATTTGTTTTTCATTACCCTGAAAAAATTCCAACCTGGATTTAGAAAACATATTATCTATTGCGAGATCTATTGCTTCTTGACTTCATCATTTCTCTATTTCCTGTCATCTATGAAATGATAACAGTTCTTATATTATCTTGACTGAAAAACAAATTACCTACTATATATTATGGCAGATATACTTTTCAAGGATATTTATTATATCACATATAAAATATATATTATATATGCGATATACGCAATGCTCAACTAATTTTGAACAAAGATAATGAATCATAGCATTGACTATATGGAATATTATCATAGGCATGAAAACAAAATGTCAACCATTTACAAACTGGCATTGTTTTCCTATATGTTTTTGCTCAGCATATCTCGTCATATATGAAGATTCCATTTCCAGTTACTGTTATGTCATCGGCTCGCTTGAACTGGTCCACTAAAGCATGAAGACGTGTTCCGACCTCGGTTCCGACTAATAATGCAGAGGGCACTGATTTAAATTTAGTTTTATTGGCTCCCTAACTAAACTCGTTCTCTTGATGAAACTCCGAGTCAGACGAGGTCATAATATGCGAAATTTCACTCTTATTCTTTTTGTTTACTGTGGTTATGATATCATCAAATTAGCTTTCACTATATGGCTGCAGCATACAAGGTTGCATCAAAAATATAATGACAGATATTTGTTCAGAACATTGTTGAAAACTACTTTCTTCCGTCAAATATATCTGATCTCATCCAAATTCCATGATCATGACTATAAAGCAGTTAATATTCAACTGCTCTCTCATTCTTATAGGCAACCATGTCAGTTATTTCCATGTGGATGCAGAGGTATTAATGAGATATTTGTATCATATTTCAAAATATTTCAATTGAAGAAAAATTTCAATCTTTACATTTTTCAATGGTCTGCATCTTCTATAAATGAGTGAGTTTTGACTCAAACTGATTACAATCCCTAGAGTTGCTAAATGTTCTTGACACTGCTGTTTTGACGTTTTATGTATATAAGAGTACGGACACTAGACAAGCAGCAGTGATGATTAAACATAACCACAAACGATTTTGAAGCAAATCATATGTATTGCCAGACAAGGACAAGAATATGTGTTTCGCTCAGATAAAGGATCCTCGCATCTTTCTTCCTCCACAAGTCCTGGGAAGAGTACATCCATATATCATTCTCTGTCTTTGATTTTTGTATGAGAGTGCATAGCGTCTCCTCGAGTGGGTAAAAGGGTACGATAAATTGATTAGAAAATGATTTCTTCTCGAAATATTGAATGATAAGGCTGAAGGACCAGAACATAAAAAATAGACTAGGCACGTTTTCAAAAATTAACAATGCAAGAAGCATTTCATGTAACAATTGGGGAAACAACGTTTTTAAGGTATTTCGACCCCGCTGAATACGAATCTGCCTGTTGCCAAAGCGAAATTTGGACCGGAAGTCCGGTATCCAAGATGGCGGCCGAGATGGTGGTCAAAACTCTGTTGCCCCATATCTCCCATGTCCGTTGGCTTGTAATAATGGTTCAAACATCTGCTTAGGGGTTTTATCGGATGCTTGGTACTTTGCAGTGCTTGAAATTTACTTACCTCAAGTTATGAGTGCATGGGCTTCAAGATGGCCGCCGAAGGAAGTGAAGGAAACGACCATTCCAGAGTTCAAACACTGTTTATTGCAGGATTGTGGAAAGATAATGAAAAAATAGTTCGGTAGCTGATGGCAATAATACAAAAATGATAATTAATCAACCATTTGAAGAGTTAAGACATTGGTGAGAGCGGTGGCACAACTTGGTGCAAGTCAGTCCATTCTTCTTGCACGTGCACATTGTTGTCAGGCAGTGGGACAAACAATTACAGGTTAAAATATCCGTGCAAGCTTTGGGAACGGGCTCAAGTGTCATAAGGATGGGAATGTACTCGTCTTGGTGAAGCCTCCACCCATATGACTCAGGATCCATCACCTCCGGTCGGGCATGATGAGCATTTTCCCACACGTTCACCTGAAATGTTTTTAATTATAATTACCGAGAAGCAACTGGTTATACTGATCACAGTATGCTTCCCATCATTTCTTTACCTGGTAATGGCATCTTAGGAGGTGTAGCCGCAGCGCATCGCTTGTTGGAGGTAAGGCTTCTGGCTTTTTCACAACACCAAAAAGTTGATATCTGGCTTCATCCCCGCTAGATACATCTTTATTCACCTGTTCAGAGAAATATAAACGTTGTAATTGATATTTGGACTTGCTGAAACACCAGAAAAAACTTTACCGACCTTATAGAGCTGAACGAGAAACTTCTCTGCATTCGCCTTCGATGAGGGAGTTAGCGGAGAGTGCCCTAGGTTGTCTAAAAGTTGGCAGGCCGTTCCATTGAAGTTTTTCCACGCTGCTTTCTTCGTTATCGTTGCAAGGTGAGACGTCGAGTCGCAACCCGTAACTGCGTGAAACGCCAAGATGTTCTTCTTTTGAACATTAGGGAGAATGTTGCAAATCTCATGTATTGGGAGATACTTTCTTTCTTTCGCTGTGCCACTCATCATCCACACTTTAGAACTGGTCATTTTGTCAAAGTGATGGATCAACAGCAAACAAATGTCGGTATCCCTGGCCATGATGACGATGTTGTCAGCATCAGAGTGGACAGCATGTAGTACAACGCGTGTATCTGCCTCTTCATGTGTCGCTGCTAGGGAACTGACGTCGGATTCGGGGTTGGTTGATCGCACATCCTCTTCATGTATGAGTCCTCCGGAAACAACAACTTCGATGTCATTAAAGACATGTTGGAGAACTTCCTGAGAGAGGAAGCGGGCTAGGTCGGCCTTGTTTTCCCCCAGTGCTAGGAAATTCTTCCAATTTTTTGGCAGTGGAATGGCTGTACTTGTGATGTCCCTTCTGACTGGAGCAGCTCCCCTGGTCCGTCTGCAGCGGGTCCCACTTTTGATCGACTTGGGACGATACCGGTCAAAAAGGATGTCGACTCTGGCATACGGTCTTCCAAGGTGAACCACCCTGTCAATGAATATTGCTGCGAGGTCTCCGAAAGTAGTGGCAGTTGCTGGTTTCCCTATGCTGTTTACTAAAGCTTGACCGTCTATAATCAGTTGCGAAGTGTTCCGATCAATGTTAATGGAGTTTGGGCATTCCACGCCTTCAGCAACGAGTTTTATCATCGATGCTTTTTCAGACGATCTGAGGGTGCCATCCATTTCCGCTATCGATAAGGGTACTGGAAGAAGCTCGTGCTTCAAAATGGAGGGCAAGTCAATTTGTCTGCCTGCTTCGAAAGCTACAATTAGACGACGTAAAACATCCCTGTCAGCCTCTACAACCTTTTTCCGATCTTTAGTGTCCTTAACTTTGAAGAGGTCTGAGAGAGTTAAAGCAGAGTTTTTTGGTATTTTAGCATAAAAACTTTCGACAGGTTTTTCAGACGACTCTTGAACAATAAGACGCTGATTTACAAAGTTGATAACCAGATCTGATCCGCGCTTCTTCGCTTCAAGGAGCGATGTCTGAATTTCTTTGGTTGCCCGGTCTTTAGTGGCGACGTTGCAGACACTTGAGCTAGGAGCCGTAGGGTCCATCAAATGGAATGACTGCATAACTTTGAGGAGTGCATTTTCATCAGAGTTATCTCTTTTTCTTCGACCTAGTTTCTCCTCCCAACCGGTTTTCGATAGGCCTTGTCCATACATAGCGTAGGTTTTCTGAGTGATTTCTCCTCTCCAGTGGAACGATAAAGCCCAGCGCTGAACCGTGGATGCATCTTGAGTTATCCCGACTAATCCACCGGCACCCTTGCTGATGCCGACAACCCATTCTTGTGCATGGTCTGGATCAACTTGTGAAAATTTCTGCGGGGAACGTAGCACTGCGAAGTCTCCATTCAAGAACTCTTCTTCAACTTCGGCCGGCAACTGATTCATGTCACAGATGTACGCTGTCAGAGATCTGAAATAATTTCCGTGGTCATATCGGGCGATGAATGGAAGCATTTCTGTTAAAGCTGCTCGGTATGTCATCCACTTTCCATCTCGGATCCCCCTCGTGAACATTAGTAATGTCAGGATCATGTCCATGTAGGACCACCAAAATTCAAAATTTGGGCTTTCTTTGGACTTCTCCTCTAAAAACTCAGACAATAATTGCAAGTTATTTTCACTTTGAAGAAAATATTTCAACTGCAGGGGTTCCTTTGATATGCGCATGAACTCTGCAGAATCGACGCCATGCTCTTCAAAGAAAGACACGATCTGTGGAGCTAAAATCTGCCATATAGCTTGAAGCGTAATCTTGTGAGCCCTCATCCCTTTTCCATAGGCCTTGCCGTCGATTATTCTGGATATACTGCCTTCACCCATTAGTCCGCTTTCTAGCCACATTTCGACGAGGCCGCTTCCTGTTATGTGCTTTCCGATAACCTTGAGGAAGTTCATAGCTATGTGAAGACCGCCCATCCTTAGAATAACCCGGCTCCGCACCTCTTCCGAACACCATTTCAGTTCCAACAGTTTACAATACAAGGCCTGATCTGTTGTCAGTATTACATGACGCTTTCCAAGTTTGTCAGCAGCTGTGATGCATCTTCGAACGACGGTGTTTAGTGTTGTCATCTCGTGAGCAGGGTTCAGGATCAAGGGCATATACCCAATTTCCGAAACTTCGTAAGTAGAGCTGGATGACTTTTTATTGAATTCCGTCCATCCCAGCTTGATCGTGTCGTTTACACGAGAAATTCCGAAAGCCAAATCTTGTATTCGAGCCTCTCGGACACACAGCGGCAAGTTTTTCATATCTCCTGGCTCACTGGCGCGAAACCAATCGGCTTCTACTGGTTTTGAAAAATATGGCTCCGGTCGTACCTTAGGAATGTTTGGTGGCAACAACTGATTCAGCACGTCGGGGACCTTTAATGTTGATTTTGGGTCAAGCTTCACAGTGCGCAACACTTCATCCGTTCTTTGACCACTTCGTTGAAAAGCGACCATCTGGGTTGCGTGGAACGTCCTCTTACCATCAAGGGTGTCTGTCAAAATGTCAATGTTGTCCGCCGTTATATGCAAAGCTGGTCCATTCCTGCCGTCAATTTCTGACACCTTGAAATTTGGTGGGATGACGGCACCGGTAGCGTTGTCAAGAGACTCCAAAGTAACATTCGCGAGAGCTTTATCCGCCTGGAGAACCTGTTTATAGCTCATACAATGCCCTGCCGAGTGGAGCAGAGTTACAAGTTTACGAGACCGTGTCTGCTGATGTACAGATAAAGCTAACCCGATATGTTTTGGTGTCAACTTCTTACCGCCACTCACAGCATAGACTATATCTTGGCCTATAGAGAGCTCGAAGTTTTTGGGTGAAGGCCGTAATTGCACAGTTTCTGAGATCTCGTCGTCTTCTTCTTCATTACTTGAGTCTTGGTCTTCGGCAACAATGTCGAGAACTTCTTCTCCACCTACCAGTACGCTCAGGAACAAATTGAGATTTTTTGGTATGACTGCGGCAGCCTCTTCTTGGGAAACATGAAGCCCTGAGTGACCCGGCGAATCTTGCAACTCTCCTCTAAGAAGAAGCGCAGCATGGACAAGAATTGAAAAATCATCATTGAGCACTTGTCTTGGAATCGAGACATCTTGATCGATTTCTCCTAAAGTAACATCCGCAGTCACCCTGGCCGAAAACTTTCGGGGTATCAGAAGACTCTGCCTTCCAGTGATGTCCTTGTTCAAGGGCTGGAAGAAGAAGAACGAGTCCTTGATGTTGTTTTGCAATTTATCTTTAAAAGTTGACAAGCGCGATTCGAATGACTTCGGTATCTCAACGTCGATTGTTCTTGCCAAGTGAACGTATCTTTCCCAAACATCTGAAAGTTGCAAAACGTGACCCAGTGAGGCTGAGACTTTGAGCTCTTTGCAAATTTGGATCATAGGTAAATTACTTTTGCCAGACTCCTTCATCTGCATTTGTATTTTCTTCTGGATCCTCTCGGCCTTTACTATACACAGACTGTGGTATTTTACTTCAGATGCTATCAAGCACGGCATACAATTGATGCGAACGAAAAGTTGATGGTCATAATTAGCCAGCATTCTTATAGTATCATTCATTGGCTTCGACATCACCTGCCTCAGTGCTTCGCTTTTATCGGTTTGGCAGAAAACACACCTGCTGATGTTGACACAGTCAGTCCGAGCCCTGGTGACGTATCGAGATGACGACGGTTCTGTAGCAGCACATTCCGCCTCTTGTGAAGGCGCTGATTTGTTCTTCAACCTTTCCAATCTTCCAGAATTGGCAAAGTTTGAGTAGCATCCGCGATGGTACTTGAATTTCTCGTCACTATTTGTCAGCGTTTGTTCGATCCTAACAATAGTGGCAGCAAAATCAGCATCATGGAGTTCTTTCCTCAAGCCTGCGTACTTCAGAAGAGTCTCTTTGCCGTTATCCGTTAGATCTGATAATTTGTCCTTTGAACACTTTCTCTTCTGGCAGATAATGCATAGGTTGTGGTTGGACGTTACAGCCACCAAGGAGCCAACCGTTAACGCCATATCCTGTAACAAACTGCAATAACACAATTCTGTTACCACATTGTTTTTTGAAGGCTGTATTGCTTGAAAATTCCTTTTTTGATAGAGATATCGAGGGCAGATTCGTGCATTCCTTACTACTTAGGCATCTCAACTGGGTCCTCCGAGATGCACAAGTACTAGAGGATCTGCCCTCCATTTCTCTATCTATCAAGGAGTTTTCAAGCTATAATATGTAAAAAATACAGTAATAGTCTACGGACTAAGTATATATTTAACCACTGTATATCTGACAGATATTGCACTCCAAATACAAGAATACGTGAAAAATAAAGTTTCGGCGACCATCTTGGTCGCTACGTCAAAACCCACGCACTCCAGGCTCAGGGTAAGAAATTCCTGAGCATTTCAATATGATGAGCATCCGAGAAAACCACTAAGCTGGCGTTCAAATCAATATTTTGAGCCAACCGAAAATAAAGATATGGGGCAACAGTGTTTTGACGACCATCTCGGCCGCCATCTTGGATACCGGACTTCCGGTCCAAATTTCGCTTTGGCAACAGGCAGATTCGTACTCAGCGGGGTCGAAATACCTTATTAACGTTGTTTCCTCAATTGTTACATGAAATGCTTCTTGCACTTTATAGAGATGTATTTCCTGCTAATGGGCCTGGTCTAAAAATGGAGGTCGATATCAAGTTGGTATGTACATATATACCAACGAAATACATTTACTATTCCTATGAAATAAGTCTCTTATATGTAGGTAAATATATACGTTCAGTTGAATATTTTTTTATCACAAGTTCAGAATGGGGTAAAAACTGATAAATTTCAACTAATGAAACATACTTTTATTTCGTATGGAACAATTTCACTTGTACAAGAGTGGTAGGTAATAAGTAATTAATAAATGAACAAATGTTATGGCAACAATAACAGATGATTTCAGTTAGGATAAATAATAAAGGTTCTCCAAGACATACATAGTATGTATAAATGGACTTCAGCGCTCGACTCACTATAGATCGCTGTTCACATTGTTAAAGGGGATTGTTGGTTTGAACCCGGCCATCGGAAGATTATTTTCAATAACTAACATAAATGATGCACACGTTAAGCGTTCTTGTTAATATCTTGCTCGTATCTTGGTAGCCAAGAAGTGGTTCAAAATCCACTAGGAGCTATGTTGTCGTCTAGCACTTCTCAACTACGCATGAACATGCACATTCAGACTATATGTTTTCACAAAATTATTATAAGAGTTCGTATACGAAGATGATCTAAAGAATTCTTGGTTGAACAGGGATGTGAAATCTGTTTGAGTCAGTCAATTCAGGAAGTTGCTGCTGATTCATCATCAGATGATCGACCATGATCTCCATGGTGGCTATTGTGATCTCTCTTCATCTTCGTCAGACGTACACTCGACAGGCCCAGTTAGCCTCGAAATATGTCGAACAACTCTTTATCAAAACTCGCGGCAAAGCCTTGGAATTCTTTGCCAAAGGAAACTGCACAAACTTGGGACTTTCTCCTAATTCTCTCAATTTGTCAAACCTTTGAAATTTATGTCATGTACGTCTGCGTACTGTCAGTTCCCGCTTTATCCATCAATTTATTTGTGGTTATGTCTGATTGTCAGTGCTTGTCATAGTGTCCGTACTCTAATATACAAAAACCGTCAAAACAGCAGTGTCAAGTACATTTAGGAACTCTAACAATCCCTAGCCCCAACCTTCTTATTAAAGAAAATATGAGATCAGTTTTTCAACTGTACCTCATATAATTTCAAAAATCAGATAACCGTAGAGGCCTGTATATCTATTTGATTGAAACGCCTGCCTATATTGATAATTCTAGTTTTTTTGTTTGCATATAATGTGAATTTTGATTCGCCTTGGTACACTCCACTTATTGATGAGTCCTCGTATGAATCATAGACATGATTATTTTTGTGTTTTACAAGCGGAATTATTCATTTTACAGATCACGCTTGGTTGGGCTGATATAAATTTACATATTCGTTGTTGGTTGAATGAAGACTGTTGAATAAAAAGGATGCTGTTAGGCTGTTGAACTAAAATAGCTTCTAATTATTTTGAATTCATGATGATTATTTCAATCGAAGCACCAGCATATTTGAATTGGTAGGATGTATATTTTATCAAACTATTTTCATAACAAATACTGTCTGTAGGTTAACCGAGGATGTGGAACATTCGTGTCTCAGATTTTTTTGGGATTTGCTCTCTTCGTTTCTTGAAATAAAAATAATATTATTTCAATATACTCTGAATGTAACTCCGTTTGAAATTTCAATAGTAGGTACCTAAACCAAAAATTTGGTGAATTGTTTAGTGTTTTGAAAAAAAGTGTTTCTTGACTTTTTTGCCAGTTGCATCATCAGCATAGAAAACTGAATTAATGCTTTGGAATGCTTTGCCAAAGGAAATTTTTCCAAAAAAATATCCTCTAAAAGTTTTAACAGAAGGCCAACACCTATCTCCTCTCTCTATTTCCCCTAGGTACACACGATGTTCTTTGAACATTATAGGAATCTCTTTTCGTGCACTCCACGAGATAAAAAAAAATCGCAATATAACTTCCACTCATGAGTTTTATTACACTAAAAACGAATTACTCTCTGTATACAGTGTGACCCACTTCTAATGGAAACAACCCTATATCTTACGTAAATTAAGGATCCTGAAATTTGCTGGAGCGAGAGATATACCAAAAATGCACTCTATGACCATGTGGGGTCATCTTCAGTGATATACACTGCTCGTCAACAGTCATGGAACCACTACAATTTCCGGAAAATGATATTAGGAAGCAGAATAGGTTGAAAATCACTTCGGATTCGGAATCAGGACGCCCAATTCACTATTCATAGTTTTCCTAGAAAATTTTCAGTTCAGAAAAATTCAATTTTGTCTCACTTCTCATGGAAGCACCCCCGTATCTCACGTAATTATTTAGTTAGGGTTCTGAAATTTGCAGGAGGAAGGGAAAGTCCAAAGATATAGTCAATTACGTAAGATACGGGGGTGCTTCCGTAAAAAGTGCGACACAATTATTTTTCAGAACTGAAAATGTTCCAGGTAAAATATAAATAGTTGGTTAATTGGGCGTTCTGATTCCAAATCTGAAGTGATTTTCGACCTATTGTGACTCTTAATATCATTTTCCGGAAATTGGGGTGGTTCCATGGCTGTTGGCGAGCAGTGTATATCACTGAAGATGACCCCACTTGGACATAGACTGCATTTTTGGTATATCTCTCGCTTCAGTAAATTTCAGGATCTTTACCCAACGATTACGTAAGATACAGGGGTGTTTCCATTAGAAGTGGGTCACACAGGGTCACACTGTATATGGTATCACAATTATTTTGGCAATAAACAAGTCGACCAATAATTTGTTGTGGTGTAGAAAATGATATCATCACTTCAGGCCAACAATGTGATTAGTGGAAATTTTTGATATCAAAACAATTAACCTTCCAGTAGTCGCGCCTTAAAAAGGACATGGGCTATCGCTGCGGAGTCCGACTCCGCAATGGAGAATTCGGGTGGTTTGAACATGATGACTGGAATTTTTCCAAAGATTTCATCAGTATGCCTTTGGGCATGAATATCTCTACGAAGTGAAATGTCAAAATTGCAATAAAAATATATTTGTTCAATAACAAAACCCAAGATTACCATAGGACAACTATCGCAGATATAATAAAAAGAATTCGAACAAAAACACTATAATTTGAGGACAACCTGAAATTATTTCAATCTAAAACCACCAATGATTCATCGGCAATCTCTGATGCAAATGAATAAAGCTGATTCTAATAAGCACATGAATTCTTCACATGTACTATAATAAAATTGGGTGTGTATTCTTCCATATCACAGTGGCATCGATCATGTGTGGTTACAAAACGGTATTTTATGAAATATTATTCATCAAATGAGACAACATTTTTGCCTAAATCGCCCGAAACAGTTGCAAAGTGTAACTGCAATATGCAATATAACAAAGACGTCCAAGGTCGCTGCGGAGTGCGACTCCGCATTACGCTATAAAATTCGAAAACGAAGCAATTTTGCACATCGGTAATACTCGATTCGTACTGAAGTCGTCATTTTAGGAAGGTACTGCGTGCGGCGGAATGAGGAAATGAAGCATATTCATGAAATCTCACGTTTTATATTCGTGCGGAGTGATACTCCGCGTGCGACTACTGGAAGGTTAAGTCAAGGCGATGAAGGTTTTAAATTTTTCGATTCGTTATTGGAATAAGAAAACTAGTTTGATAATGAAGTGGGCTCCAAGAGATAACAAAAATAATACATCAAACGTACCTTGCTGGTAAAAAGTGATTCATAAATCTTCAGTTAGTAACTTCAATCTAATTTCCTTCTTTATGTTATACAGGGTGAATAGGCTTTCCATTATATCAAATATAAAGCGAAGAAGTTGTTGAATCAAATGTATATCTCAAGATGTCGTCACAAAATGGCAGTGGACTGAGTTTTATTTTATTTCTTAAATTGAATCATCACTCGAATACCTTTCAATTTCACAATTTTTTAGAATTTCGCTATTGATTTCAAGGTGCTAAAATCAACACTAATATCACGGTAATTTTCAAACGGGTGAAAATTCACCACGACTACAAACTGACGTCACAATTTCGTAGGTATGGACAGACCATAGCACAGTTGCCATATGTGTTGAAATACGATAGGAACTTCAGAAATATTAATTATTCAAAAATTCATAAATTACCAATTTTGTATTGGTTATATTCCTGATTAAACATGAAGAATCAATTGTCTCAAAATATTCCCTCATCATCATCGCTTATTCCCAATCAGCCAAAGTACGTCTTAAAGGCGTCTTTAAGACGTACATGTCGGGACATAAGTACGTCTTATAGACGTACATATTACGCCCAAGAGACGTCTTTAAAACGTACATTTTCCACTAATATGTACGTCTTTAAGACGTCTTTT